CTCTCAGGTATTGTTATCATGAATAAATTTCATCTCATCATCCATGGCCTTCGGCCATTCAGTCTTCTTTCAACTCCTCATAACTTTCTTATAGTCTCTAGGTTCTTCGTCTAGAATCTCAATTATAGAGATTAAGGTATAAGTTATAAGATCTGCACACCCAAGTCTCTGAGGTGGCTTGATGACCCTCCTTGACCTGTCTCTTGCTAGCAGGTAGTCATTATCAGCCTCCCCATCTCCGACAACATCTTTTGCGTCTTCTTCGACTTCATCTGGGATACGCAATTCAACATCAACATGCTTCACCTCAACAGGAATCTCTCCCTGTTCCAGCTCTTCGTCAGCATCATCAGTTTTCTTGAAAGTTATCTCTGCTTCATTGAAAACTACATATCAACTGATGATACACCTCCTATTACCTGGCTTTAGGCACCATAGCCTATAAGCTTTGACTCTTTCAGGGTATCCCATGAACATGCATTTCAGAGCTCTAGGTTCGACCTTGTCTTGCCTAATATGAGCATAGGCCACACAACCAAATAATCTCAGTCTGTCAAGACTAGGTGGATGTCCTGACCAAACTTCTTCATTCCCAAGGCAGTCGAGGGACACCTATTTCTCAGATAGGCTGATGTCAAAGCAACCCCCGCCCAAAACACCTTCTTCAATCCAACACTAACCAACATGCATCTAAATCTTTCAAGGTTTGTTCGATTGAATCTCTTAGTTAAACCAATTTTTTAAGGAGTACCTGCTACAGCCTCTGAATCATGATTGTCTTTTCTTTTGTCGTTAAGGCAGCGTCCATGGTTGCCTCTCCTTTCAACGCTTCCAAACAACCATGCTGAACCAGTAGAGCTTTCATCTTCAAGCGCCATAGAGCGAAGTCGTTTACTCCGTTGAACTTTTTAATATCATACTTTGTTGAAGGCATCTTCTCCACGCTCACCGCACCAATTTATTGTGAATAGAATGCTTTGAAACAAAATATAAACGACTTCTTTATATTCAAGAAACATACAAGAGTTAGGGTTAACAAAGAAAACAAGGAAGAAGAACAAGAAGAAAAAAAAGGATTGGTTATAAACTGTTATTCTTTCTTTTATTTATCAAATAAGATTACAAGTATACAAGAATAGTAAATAACCTCTCTCTCTTGAATTATGATTTTATCTTCCTATTTTTCCTTATACAAGATGAGAGACTAGCATGCTATTTATAAGAAAAATAGCACACTAACCTAATGAGCTTTTTAACAATTACTCATTACAAGCTAACTTAGGGTACAAGCTAATTTAAACAATTACTCATTATATATATATGGATCTTTATTTTTCTATAAGATAGTTTTTCGCTTTTGATGAAATGTGACTCATACGTATTATCTAAATCTTTTAATTTTTTAAAATTAATTTTTTATAACATTAATATAAAATGGTTTTATAAAATGATTTATAATTTATCTTTGGCAAAAATATTTTTTTTAGTCTTTAAGTTATTTTAAAATATCAAGTTAGTCTTTTAAGTTTATTTTGTAACACTTTGGTCTTTTATGTTAAATAACGTTTGCGTCATTGACCTTTTAAAAAAATTTCGTTACAATAAATTGCAAACTCATATACCATTTGAATTGATTTTTTTGCATTGATCACGAATATTAATTAAATTTGCGTTTGATTGTGTATTTTAGTTGGATTGAACGATTTTTCATTATGTATTTGTCTGTTTTTTCCCCTGATTCTCATGAACCGTAACTTGTTTAATGAATTTGATTACATATTCGTGATCAGCACGAAAGACTAGTTCAAATGGTATATGAGTTTGTAATTTATTGGAACAAAGATTTTTAAAAAGGTTAACGACGCAAATGTTACTTAACATAAAAAAGCAAAACGTTAAAAAAAAACTTAAAAGATTAACGTGATATTTTAAAATAACTTAAAAAACTTAAACAATATTTTTGTCTTTATTTTTTTATATCACAATAATTATATTTTTTTTAACATTGAAATAATATATAATAAAAAAGTAGAGAAAATAAGTATCAACAATTTTTTTTAATTATAGTTATTATAAGAAAATATGAAGAAATGTTAATGTATTAAATAATACATCCATCTTATAAAAATGTCTTATTTGAGAAAAATACGGTTTTAAAAAAAAAATTAAATAAATTAGTTTTAATAATAAAACTAATATTATTTATTAGAACAACTTTATCATTAATTATAATTAATAAAATAATTAAATAAAGTAAAAATTAATAAATAAGAATATAAAAAATAATATTAAATGCTACATTGTGAAGGAATAATTATTTTTAAACATACTTTTTTTTTGAATGAAACATTTTTTTAATAAGACCAAAGCGAATAACAACTTTACACTCATCTATCTCATTCTCAAGTACGAAGTTACTTCACCTACCACAATAAAATATGGATAAGTTTGTTTTAATTTATAAAAAAAGTAGTTTTTCTTTTAAAATGATTATAATAAAAAAGAGATTAATTGAAATATACGTGTAAAATTATTTTATACAGTAATTTAATTAGAATGAATCATTTTGATTCGTAAGATGAGAAAAATATGAAAGAAGTAGTTATTAAAATAATTTAATTATAATTAATTTTTTTAATTTTTAATTTCATATTTATGTGTCAAAATGATTCATTCTAATTGGATGAAAATATAAAGTAATTTTATGTATTTCAATTAATCTTATTAAAAAAATTAAGATATTAAAAATAAAAATCATTTTTTTTTATAAATTAAAAGATTAATCTTAACCTTAAAATATACAATTTTTAAGACTAAAACATAGTCTAAATAATAAAATTTTCAAATGGTATATTTTAAAAATGATTTTTATGAAAAAATATTCAAAATAATTTTAAATTAAAATTATTTTTTTTAAATTTTAACAATCAAAAAACTTTATAATAAGATGATAAAATTTATAAAAGAACATTTAAGAAAAATTATTTAAACTAATATTTTATTTGAAACTTTTTTAAAAAAAAGTTCTAAATATTTATAAATAAAAAAAATAAAAATTTGAAAAATGTTACATTTAAATTAATAATAAAATATTTTTTAAAACATATTTTTAGATATAGTTTTGACCATCATATTATTTTATCTATTTATGAAATTCATCCCTTCTTAAAATTCTTCAACTTTATCCCTTTCCTAAACTTTTTAATTAAAAAAATAATATAATATATTTCAAATGCTATAAAATACAGATGATAATGTATAGTCAGATTTACTGATTTATACTCATTATAAAATTACTAAAAAAATATTAAAGTTGAATATAAAGTTTTCAATTTTTTATCTATTTATAATTTTATAAGAATTTATCCTACCATATCATCTAACATTAGTAAAAATATTATTAAGAAAACAGCCAAAACAATGAATCTTAAGACAATAAAATTTTCTTTTACCAAATAAAAAAAGACAAATCCAAATTCACTAAATATTTTTAAAAAAAGTACTACAGTACTTGATAAGAGCAAATTAATAAATATATTTTTATTAATTCACAATTACATGAAAAAGTGTTTTAAAAGCTATGAAAAAAATTCAATGGATTTGGGTATTTTGGGCCCATAAACACAAAAATGATTTTATCTTTTAGATATAAATAAATAAGGAGTTATTTATCAAACCCGAATGAATAAAAATGTTAGCTTAGATTCAAGTTTCAACGTCGCAGAATTTCCTTTCTTTATTCTTTTGATCGCTTTATTTTCTCTCTCTCTGTGCGAAACTCAACTTTTGCTGTCATCACAGTTCACCTATGTTTATCATAATACCAGTTTTATTACTAGTAATCAATCGTCTCTACTCTTTTTTATTTTATTTTATCAGTATATATCATTTTCTTATTATTTTTTTATTTCGATTTAATTAATTAATATTACTAATGTATCTGTTATTAATTTCAGTTCTCTCCACCACCGCAAATACGTTGACAATTGAGGTTTTTCTACTCATTTTCTCTGCTCGATTTTCACACGTGTGAATTCAACTTCATCAAGGTTCTAATCATTACTATTACTTTCTGCATGCTTTGCATTTTCAAGCGGTTATTAGTTTTGTTATTATTATTATCTACTTCTCTTAATTATCGTGTTTAATTTTATTGTTATTGGTTTTTCTCTCAATTATGATAATAAACCCCATTGTTATTGGTTTTATGATTGCTTTAATCAATTTCAATTTGTTTCTGATTGTTTTGTTTGTATTTTTTTTCTTCGATCACTGAAGAGTGAGATGCTTCGTTTTTGGTTTTCTTCGATTTTTTAATTTTGTAATTATTTTTATTTTTTGTTTAATGTTTAATGTTTAATCAGTATTGAAATATGTGTAGAATGTTGAAATTTGATCTAGGTTTGGAATTATTGTTAGTTGTGGATTTTCGGAATGTTCTTGTTAGTTGAAAGGTTTTTCTGTGTAAAGATTCACAACAGTTTTTTTTTTATTTTTTTATTTTTTATTTTTTTTCATATTGCAGCAACGCAATAGGATTTTTATTGATAGGAAATATGTGTGAATTATATTTTCTGATGGGATTAAAATTTAATTTTAATTTGACATACATGATTTTGCGTCAGTTTTTTTTTTTTTTTTCATGAATTTGAATCGGTTAATTATCAATTCACTTAATATGTTAATGAGCTCTGTAACACCGGTACCTCGGAAAAAAGTGTGTTTGTATTTTTTTGTGCCGGTGTCGGTGTCTGAAACCGACACTAACACTTGTGATTGATTATGTTGAATTAGTTCATTTTTTCAAATTGTTATCGGTGTCGACGTGTTAGTATCATTGTCGTGTTTCTGGTGTCTGGTGTCGTGTTTGATAGTTAATGAGTGATAAATGAATTCTTGTGCTTAATGGTTGCAATGAAGGGCAAAATTTTTTGCTGCTTTTAAAATTGAGAAAATTTATTATACTATGGTCTTTTCAACTCAATGTCCACTATTAGCAGATGAATCCTATTTGTTTTGATGGCAACAAACAAGACGGTGAAGTGAAATCGGCCGGAGGAATTCTTACTTCGGATGTTTCTGATATGGAAGATGAGTTTGGAGAGCCAGAAGTGGAACCTCGTGTTGGAGAAGAGTACCAGGCAGAACTTCCTCCGTATATTGGGGCAGTGTACCGGTCTCAGATTGTAAAGAAAACAGGAGATTCGGAAATTGCGGTCAATATACCAGAGTCTTTTTCTCTAGGATTACCACTTCCTCTAATGTGGACACATTGTGAATTCGACAGAAGTTGCGGTTTAGAGAGTTTAGAATCTGGCACAGGTCGAAAGGGGCGTGTTATTTGTGAAGGGAAAAATGTAGGAGGGTTTTCGAATTTTAAATCCTCTTGTAGAAATGGTGAGGCAGATATTGGCTCGGAACTGAGACCCGAACTAGACCCGCCAAGAGGCAGATATCTTGTTCCTGAATTGTTGTGTAGTCAGACTTGGACTGATATTGAATATAACAGTTTTCTTCTTGGCCTCTATGCATTTGGGAAGAACCTTATTTTTTTGAAGAAATTTGTTGGGACTAAAAGTATGGGAGACATATTGTTTTTTTATTACGGTAAATTTTATAAGTCTAAAGGATATACCCGATGGGCACAATGCCGAAAGTCGAAAACTAGGCGATGTATATTTGGACAGAAAATATTCACTGGTTGGAGGCAACAAGAATTGCTATCAAGACTGTTTTCCCATGTTGCAAAGGACTGTCAAACTACTTTGACTGAGGTATCTTTCTGGTCTCAGACTCTTGCGTACCTTAGTGCATCCTAGTCATTGTCATACAAAGGTATACCTGGTTAAGCCACGTTTTTGCATGATTTAAATGTTTTTGTCAGTGTTCCTGAATTATAGATATTTGTTCAAAAGGTAGATTAGTTAAAAAATGATTTTTGTTGGAGGTTAAATACTAATTCATTATCAGTGCAAGCTTAAGTTTTACTGTCATGCTAAAAAAGAACTGAAAATAACCTTTTCATCAACTTCTGCATGTTATATATCCTTGGTTTAATATTCAAGCCATACCCGCATATACACATATGGCTGCACTGTTTCTTTCATGATTATTATCTTTTAATAATTTGTCAGCTACCTTCCAGAAAATTGTCTCGGAAATGCTAGCTATTTTTTATTTGAACTTGCAACGAATGATTTTGTTTTAACATAAACACTTTACTGTCATTAAGCATCTTTGCTAATATGTGGATTATCATGATACTTATTGACAATAAGCAGCACTGTACAAAAGAAATTTCAGCAACTATTTGCTGTTATCAAGGCTGTCTGAATTTGTATCATTTCCTTGAACGTTTAAACGTTGTAGAAGTTACCACAGTCACTCTATGTTCTTCAGGTAGAAGTGTGACATATGCATGTCCATAGTTGACTTGATAGTTCACTTAGCCATTGTAAATAAGCTTCTAAGTTGCTTTTTTGCAATTTCTATTTCTAAGCCCATGCATTTCATCACCAGAAAAACAGTGTTTCCTAAACTCACATTATATTACACTGCAGATTTCGAAGAATTTTGTGGAGGGAAAGATGCCATTTGAAGAATACGTATTTGCTCTAAAGAATGCTGTTGGCATTGAGGTCCTTATAGTTGCAGTAGGTATTGGCAAAGGGAAGCATGACCTTACTGGCACCGCTCTTGAGCCTCCAAAGATCAATCACACCCTTCCTGTCCGCCATGAAATACCAGCCGGAAAAGCTTGCTCCTCTCTTACATCTGCAGATATAATGAAGATCCTAACAGGAGATTTTAGATTAAGTAAAGCTCGATCTAGTGATCTTTTCTGGGAAGCTGTTTGGCCTCGTCTTTTAGCAAACGGTTGGCATTCTGAAGAGCCAAAGGATAATTTTGTTACCGGAACAAAACAAACTTTGGTTTTTCTTGTACCTGGTATTAAGAAATTTTCAAGAAGGAAACTGGCCAAAGGTAACCAATACTTCGACTCTATAAGTGATGTACTGAATAAAGTGACATCTGACCCTAGGCTTCTTGAGACTGAAGTTCAAACAACCGACGGTAGTGCTGATCAGGTAAACATGCAAAATAATCAAAACCAAGATGGTGTGTCAAATACACATCAATATCCTTTGTTTCAATCTCCCAGTTCAAAGTGCAAACCGGATCTCGTGAAGTTTACAATTGTGGATACCAGCATGGTTCATGATACCGATCAACATAAAGTGAGACAAATGAAAAGCTTACCTTTTCAACCTGGGAATATATCTACCATTTCAAGCTGCAGTTCTAGTGAATCTGAGACAACTACATCTGAAGACTCGGAAGATCAGATTGAGCAAGCTAATGCTTCAAGTCCTATTGTAGATCGGGTAGAACAAGCTAATCCTTCACAGCATGCTGAAAATCAGGTTGAACCTGCTAATTCTACATACCATGTTAAAGATCAGGTTGAGAAAAACAATTCCTCGTACCATATTGAAGATCAAGTTGAACATGCTAATTTTTCGTACCGTATTGAAGATCGGGTTGAACATACTAATTCTTTGTACCGTGTTGAAGATCAGGTTGAGCAAGCTAATGCTTCAAACTCTATTGATTGTCAGGCTGAACATACTAATTCTTCGTACCGTGTGGAAGATCAGGTTGAGCAAGCTAATGCTTCTAACCCTATTGAAGGTCAGGCTGAACATACTAATTCTTCGTACCGTGTGGAAGATCAGGTTGAGCAAGCTAATGCTTCAAACCCTATTGAAGGTCAGGTTGAGCAAGCTAATGCTTCAAACCCTATTGAAGGTCAGGTTGAACATACTAATTCTTCATACCACATTGAACGTGCTAATTCCTACAACCGTGTTGAAGAAATCTCAGATAAGGGGAAGCGCCCAGACTTATCTAGTCATACTCGTAATTTTGATCTGAATGATGATGAGCCTACAAAGGAGATGAACGAGCAGCCATTGGTTGAAAAGATGACATCTGATGATTGCGGAAAATATTTTTCCTGCACCACAAAAATGCAGGAGTTAAGAGCTTGTAACCATGGAGAATCTAGCCATAGTGCTAAAAAAACTTCTATGAACAGAAATTTTGATTTAAATGAGCCATTCTCATCGTCAGACCCACTTGAAGCATCTGAGGGCATGGATATGTCGGTAGATTTAGAAACTTTGTCTTGCCCAAGTTATCCGGCTAAAGGCAACAATATGAACAATGAAGGAAGTGTAACTGAGAACCTCCAGGTTGGAGAAGTTTCTGCGAAAAATTCTGAAAACAGGATGTTGATTGACTTGAATTTTCCTGAAGTTGCACCTGACTTAACACTTGAATTGGAAATACCATCCTCTAAGGCAATACCGCAAAACGATGATCAACGTGCTCAAACATTGTCACCATCATCATCTGAGACAACCCAGCACAACACAACAGATGAGATTCCTGATTTAAATAAGGAGCACCAACCAATCATTGTTAACCGCCGTCAAAGTACAAGGAACCGACCGTTAACCACTAAGGCATTGGAAGCTCTTGAGTACGGATTTCTCAACTCAAAGAGGAAGAGGAAGAACTCAGAACCTTCAGACAACTCAAAGTCGCAATGTTTACGTCCAAGTAACGAGACAATTATCAGTTCTACTTGTGATGATAACATTGAGAATTCTATGGCTGACACAAGTGAAAAGGAGGAGAATGTCATCCAGGAATATAGTTTCATTGTTTAATAATATCCATAAACAAGCCATACATGAAGTCCAAAGCCATTTAGTCTATATTCACTCACTTTCTTTTTTTTCTCAGTATTTGACTGATAAGAATAATAAAATAGCATAAGATTTGATTCAAATGATTCTTGATTTGTGGTTTAAAGATGAAGGACAATTTGTGCCAAAGTTTTAGCAGGAATAATACCATTGTTAGAGGTAATATAATCAAGGTATGTGGTAGTTTCTGGTTCATATCATTATAACAATATTAATTAAGCATGCATGGATTACAACACAAATTTTTTCTTTACATTACCGTAATTCTGAAGTGTTGTGGATTATCACATTGGTTAATAGCAATTATACAAATGACAAGTATGTTTTCAACTAAACTTAATAGACAATAGGTATATTGGATTTGTTCTTCAGAGTGTTTTTGATTTTGTGGTGATGCAAATTGATTTTGAGTGAATTCTCTGTAAAATTGATTTTGATAAAAATGAGTTGAAGATAAAATTATTTATGTTATGATACATTTAAATAAAAATGAGTTAAACATTCAATTTCAATATAAAAATCATGTTTAAATTTAAAAGTTATAAATTCTATTTTAAAATAGAATTAATTCCGAAGAAATAATCCAAATGTTCACTATTACATCTCCAAAGATCAAGGCTCATGTAATATTGGCAGAATACAACTCCTCTAGCAGCTATTCTTCATCAATGGATGATTTTAAAATTATCAAAGCTTTAATGTATTAAACCTTTTAAATCTCTTCCAATCATAGAAGTGTTTTGGCTGCCACTTACTTTTGATTGGACCAAATGTAATTGTGATGGAACTTATAAATACAATCTTTCTCTTGTTGGATGTGGGAATTTTTCCAAATAGAGAAGATTTCATCTTGCCTCTTTAACTCATCTTTAACTCATGATAAGTTTTGTCATTGTTAAGAGCCATGGAAATATCTAAGGATAAGAATTAGGTCAAGCTCTAGATTGAAACAGATTCTAACATGGTGATGCAAGTTTTCTCCAAACCTTTTTTTTTTCTGCCTTAGCAAGTAAGAAACAAGTGGAAGACTTGTACATTTTTTTTTAAATAGACACTTTTATATTTCTCACATCTATAGAGAACTCTTCTACCTTTTTTTTCATTTTTAATTTTGAGCTTTTTGAATTCTTTAACTATTTTTTAGTCCATTCTTCTAAAAATTAAAAAGTACTTTGTAAAAAATAAATTAGGCAGTATTTCTTTAGATTTTCTTAGGGCATGTGGCTTCACCATATTCTCTTACTATATTTTTAGTCTAATCTCTAATTTCAATTCAATATTATAATTCACTTGACACGTTAATATTTTTCTCTCTCTAGGGAGATTTTTTCTCACACTTGACACATATAGAGTTTATTTGATAAGATCGACTTTAGTTTTTAATTTTTCATCTCATTTTAATAAAAAAAATCTTGTTTAGTAAGTATTGTTTAGTTTTTAGTTTGTAATTTTTATACTAATTTATATGTTTTTTTTCAAAAATTATTTAAAATAGTTTGAGTTTATAGCTTTTAACTTATTATTTTTTTCATTTATATTATTTTAACAAAAATCTAATTTTATCCTTCAAATATATATATATATATATATATATATATATATATATATATATATATATATATATATATATATATATATATATATATATATATATATATATATATATATATATATATATATATATATATATATATATATATATATATATATGATCAGAAGAGATCGTTGGCCTGTTACGCGTCTGAGCTGTCGGACTATTGACCTGACGGAAAAAGAGGGGGGGGGGGGTGTACCTAAAACACACTCTGATGTTAAAGTAAGGGACAAACATAGTGATAACAAGTACAAAGAGAAAAGAGTAAGAATTAGATTACCTGACCCTCTAGTGGAAGAGGGTATTTATAATGAGCCCCCAGCGCAGGGCCAACAGTTACTATGCGTTGGGCTGGGTTGCCAGGCCCAACACTGGTAACTGAATGTGAGAAAATACTTAGAAGGGGGGTTGAATTAGTATGAAGATTAAAACTTAGAAATAAAAACTCAAGTATTTTTATCCTGGTTCGTTGAACTCAACTACTCCAGTCCACCCTTCCTAGAGTGATTTGCCTTTCTCAATCAAGGACTTAATCCACTATTTAATCAACTGATTACAATAGTAAGCACTAAGAACAACTGTTCAAAGTCTTCTCAAGAAATACTGATCCTAACTGGATCTTCTTAAGGTTTTCTTACAATTAAATGTAATAACAAATACAAGTGTTTAAATTGCTTTTAATCAAGCTTTATCACAACTGTGATTTTTCACTTAAAGTTAAGAACAAAGAAATTAATTCTAGAAAGAATATGAATAGTATGAGAGCTTTGAATATTGATTTCTTTCAGATGGAACGTTAGTTGAAGAAGATGGGTGAAGACTTGCTTTTATAGGCAGCTGATCTAAGGAGAGCTTCACGTTGAGAAGAGTGTCCAAAAGGTCTGAGCCTTTTTGTCTTCACATCAAGTGACCTTTCCTAGAAGAAGAAAGCACAGAGAAATCTTTTTTGTCTGTGTTCTTGTGTCTAGCATAAATAAGGAAAGAGTCGTTTGAATTATTCCAACGGATATAATCTTGAATTCTTCTTCTTCAATTTTCAGCAAGATTCATCAGAGTCTGATTTGATCAGAGCCTTCTGATGTTTGATTAGAGTTTTGCTGAATTAGAGTCTTCTGCAGCAGGTGTGCTTTTAGCGCGTGTAAGTTCAGAGCATGTTTGAGTTAGATCTTCAGTACTGGCAGCTTTAGTACTTTCAGAATCTTCTGTAGTTACTATGCTTTGAAAACTCTTCATACAAAATTCTTCTTTGGGTCAGATGCTTCTGACTTGCTTTAGATTCTTCTAGAGCTTCTGCTTCAGATCCTTCTGGAGGCTACACTCAAGATCTTCTGTTGGTAGCATTCAGAATCTTCTAATGATTGCATCTGGCGCTTCAGAGTCTAGCAAATTTCTTATGTTCAATTCTGATTTGCTTCTGGAGTGTTAATTCCTTTACTATCTGCAGTAAAAACTCTTAAGCAAATTTTAGAGTATATAATTCTTAATTACAAAATTTCATAATAGTTATCATCAAAACATAGAGATATTATTAAGAACCAATCTGTGTTCTAACTATCTCCCCCTTTTTGATGATGACAAAAACATCAGAAATTTTGTTTAATTGAAAATATAATAATTATAACTCCCCCTGAGATGATGAATCTCCCCATGAATTAAATACAGATAAGGAATAGAAACTTCCCTTTTGTCTTGAGTATTTTTCAGAGTTAGAGCTTGATTGTTCTTTAACATTTGAGAGTCAGAGTGTCTTGCATATTTCAAAGTCAGAGTTTGATAATTGTCAAATGATCTGAAAGTCTCAGAGTTTCTTTTACAGAGTGTACTTATCAAATGTTCTGAAATACTTAGATTTAATGTTAGATAAAATAGATATGTCTGAAGTTTCATTCTGGTGAAATTTAATTAAACAGTTCAGATCTATATTTTCTCCCCTTTTTTTGTCATAAGCAAAAAGTAAGAACTTTGTAAAGACAAATAAAAGGAAATAGTAAATGAAATAAATCATGTGGAGAAAACTTTGAGATTTCATTCAATTCAGTTTAGAGCAAGAATACATACATCAGAAGATATTCAACAAACATAAGCAAACATCAGAATGAAAAAAAAAAATGAAAAACTAAGAGTGTTTTGACAAAAGCATCTTCAACAGATCCGTGATCTCAGATGAGGACTGTTCTTGCTTTGACATCCACTTAGCCATTGTTTCATTCTTCTGATCCTGTTTTGACATCCACTCAGTCATGTCTTCAGACTTTTTATCCTGTTTGGCCATCCAAGACTTGATTTCTGATTGACCAGCTTCCAGAGCAGCAATTTTATCCTCAAAATATGGATGTTCTTTCTTTATCTCAGATGAAGAAGGTTGAGCATTTCCTGGAGCTTGAACAGAGTAAATTTCCATAGGCACTTCAAAGCTTGGAGCAGTAGAGCCAGAAGGTTGTTCTATTAGAGTCATGGCCATAGGATTGTCTTCAGATGCAGATGCAGTAGTTTCTTCTGATGATGGAGGAGCATCTGTAAGAAGCAATGGTCCAGATCTCTTGACAGTCCAGAACAGACTTCTTGCAGCTTCAGCATATCTGAGCTTCGCATCATCAGAACATATGTTCTTCAGATTTGATGCTACAGTGTTGAATCTGTTGATGAAGCCATTCCAGATGACATCATATTCTTGTGCATCCATTGTTGCTGAACACTTCTTTTGTACATTACCTAAATACAACTGTATTTCTTGCAAAAAAACATGTAAATAAATGATCAATGTTTAGTCTAGGTTTGGGGTGTAACAGAGTCTCCAATGTTATTGGTTTTGGTTGAGGAGTAGGTGGAAATAAGGATTTCTGAATGGAAATCAGAGGAGGAGGGTAGTAGGGGAAGAATGGAATTTCAGAGGATTTGTCTGATTTTGATCTTTTCAGAGCATTTATCAAACATGGTTTGGCAGTTGAGTTATTAGAAACAACATCAAATGGTTTATTAGTGTAAGGTTGGAAAGAAGATTTTGCAGGTTTATCAGAAGCAGCAGGTTTATCAGATGAAACAGGTTTAGCAGAAGTAACAGCTTTTGCAGATTTAGCAGAGTATGCTATTGTAGCTAATGAACCTACTTCTGACATTGATTTAATGTATGTTAGAAGCACGGATGGTAGAGTTATTGTAAGTTTGGGTTTGAAAGGAGTGATAGGGTCAGATGGTTCAACTCTTTCATAGAAATCTTTGAGTTTGAAACCATAGGAAAGGTTTTGAAAACAAGATGATACATGTCTGGAAGAAGCAGGAGTTACAGATGGTCTTGGTGTAGATGTTGGAATAGGATTTGTAATGAGGGTTTTAGATGATGGTTTAGGTGTGGGAGTAGGATCTGGAG